AATTCCTTCCTTGGCATTATTAAGGAATCAATGTAGAAGACTACATACTGTCTTTGATATCTAAAATTTGGAGTTGTGAACGATCTTATTCATAAAGACGGCCAGAGAACTAGCTGTACAGCTCATATTTTTCATCTTTTTAGTGCTCCATCCATCCGTACACTGAATGGACCTTCCCCTTCAAAAGGAAGGTCTTCAATCCTCATCTTCGTAGAGGTAGGCCTGCTGATCTGATCCATGCATGCTTCTTAAAGCGATGGCTGAAGCATCTGAAGAGTCAAATGCTACTCAATTGATATTTAGCAATGTGCTGCCCTTCCAAGAGCAGAGCACTTAAATCTCTTATCCTCAGATATTGATGAATAATATTCCCCCCCACTGACGACACTGTTGCCTTGCTGTGACCTCAATTTGAAACACACATGGCTAAAGCAGTAGAAGAAAACATTTTCCTACCAATGACATCGTCTTTTCCCTTCTACATCAGAGGGAGTGGAGTGCAATTGAGCACCTCTATCTTTAAAGCTGCTTCTACAACCAATGAATTGGGATGTGATTGGGTGTGAAACATGGCCATATCTTTCCAAGAAAACTGGTACAATTTGTCAGCCTTCTTTGATTGTTCCAGACTGCCTTCACTGGTTGGAACAGCCCTTCCAATAAGGGAAGAGTAACCCTTTGTCTAGTAGTTGCTCCCAGTATATAAAAATGCACTAACTCATGAATGCCACTGTATCTTCTGAAGGTGACGAGGCTGACTTGCCCCTTACGTTTTCATCTGGGGATGTCATTCTTCCAGAGTCCAGATCGGACTCTCACCACTCCATTAATTCCTCCTTTTCTGTTAATTCTCTCCTTGATATAGGAGACATAGCAAAGCTTGTAAGTTTTATTGGATCAGTACCCTTCAGGTCCGGTAATTATACCTCCTCTTTGAACCTAACTGGAGAAATAGTCCCATACATAGCAAATTCTTAGTAAGGTGCTGGAGAAAGCCATTGTTACCATCAAATCAAAGGTGGTATTTGCTAGTCAGGCCAGAAACCCATAGTCAGATCTGATGGTATACATCTTTGCCCAGATCAATTCAAGATATATAGGTATCTTTGTCCTTAATACACCCTCTACAGATCCTTTCCGCGATCCATACTCTTCCTCCACTCTCAGGTTATTCTTAGTTCAGATATAACTGGAGATAGTAATACCCTGGCCTGAAGAAGGGAAATTGGAGAAAAAAAGTTCTCTGAAGAACCAAAAAGCATTTCAGGTGATGGCAAAAGAGGAGAAATTCTAAATTCCTCTATGTGATCTTTGCTTTCTGGAGAAATACATATCTGAGTCTGTTGTAGTACATCCTCTTCTTGCTCCTTTACTGTAATTGATCCTCTCTGGCTGAACAGAGGCTGGGATCCAATCTATGAGCCTGTGCCTCGGCTACTATCTGCTGCAGTGCCCCACTGCTACCAGCCCCTGGTGCCACAGTACCTTCTTGTTTCACTGGTGCCTCAAGCCTCATTTTTGGAATTAGCTCATCTGGACTCAAGGGCATTGGAAACATCTTTTGAAACCGTGTTTCTTCTTCAGTTCCACCCAAGTAACTATATTACTACCACTAATAAAACTAACACTTAACACCTAAGATCTAAATTAGCCAGCTAATCACGGGTCTCCACACAAATCTGTTTAGCTGGTCGTGGTTAGAAGGAACTGAGATAGCTGAGAACCACACCCCTTTTATATCCTTGCCTGAAACACTCGATGTTCACTGAAGGGTGGGGCAAAGGAGATGAGCGAGTGCTCCAACAGTTACTGCCATCTAGAATTCTACCATTCAAGGCTGCACCAGTCAGAGCATCCCATGAGTGGGAATATGCAGAGGGCACTTTATGCTGTGTATAAATCTTCATTAAATAACGGTGTAAGCATAATGTACTATATTAACCTTCGTACAGCTTTACCATTCAAACTGACCAGTTAGACTATACTAAACCTCCACAGCCATCAGATTTGAACATCTACTCTTTGAAGAAGGGAATGAAGTCAGGTACACAAGCTTAGTGTAAACATGTTTTAATATCACTGAAATTATATTTGCATCAATATTTATAGAGATCCAAGACTTGGATGGGCTTCAAATAAATAATCTTTTGAAAGTAAATGGTTACACGTAAAAGGGGGTCTAAAAGCAACAGCACACTGTTTAGAACCCCTTCCCCTCGGACCCCAAACAAAAGAATGTACAGTAGGTAGCACACACTGGGAGAATGTCACTACAGATAACAAGAACCTGCCATCTTCAAGTGACAAACCACTGAATATGTTGACGATAACCAAATGAAAGGAGAGAGGAAGGTAAAGGCATGCACTGCCCCTTAAAGCACCACTATGCGCCCCGGCTCCATTTTTTAAACATTAGGATCAGGCAAGGGAAAGTAAGTTGTTTCCTTTCCGATTCTGAATTCAAGGATTAATACAGCAGTGCTCTGGTACAGGATGTACGCTACTTGAACTGACAGTGGAGCATACTCTAGCCCATCCTCCATAGATTTATTTTATTCAAAGGCATCTAATTTTTAAATTCTTTTCCAATGACAAGAATAGTCCAGAAAGCTACAAAGGCAGACAAAAACTCCTTCTGGTGAAGCCATCACCAGCCTATGACACAAGTAGATCCAGGTTTTAGAGTAGTATTGAGAAACATAGCATAACTTTCCAACAAGTTACAGGGTAAAATATTGGTCTGAGTGCCCCAAGAGTGGCTGCTCTTAAAAGTTAAGCTTTCCAAAACCAAGTGCTTTTTCAGAGCAAGTGAAGTGAACATTTGCCATCCCCCACAACAACTTTCTGAAATGTATCCTCTAGGTGCCCCAGGTATATTAAAAATATCAGTCTGCAGTAAAAAAAAAAAAAAAAGAACACCAGCCTACAAACAGTTTTCACAGAGCACTCAAAACTAACCCTAGGGGAAATAAGACAACTCAGAAATAGATAAGCAATGGGATATAAGAGTAACCAGTTATAAAAATCTCACCATAAATGGAAGGAATCTTGCAGGAAAGTACAGTAATAGTTACTGTAACTTGCTGTTACTTATGGTTCACAACTAAGTATTTATTGTACTTTGCAAGGCTTCCCCTTTACAGATGCAGGTAGAATAGCTTTCCCCTGTTTATACTTAATCCATTTGTGACCGATTTTCCTGGTAAGGATTCCACTGCCAGCAATGGAAGCATCGAAGTCATGAGTACAAAGGACGTAACAATTACATTCATCTCCTTTGCTGATGGAAACTCTTCTCTTTCCTTCTGTTTGCTGCTTTGCAATAGTCTGTATCAGTACAGTTGGAGAGATATGCCCTTTCCCGCTACGAGTCATAAGAGAATAAAACTTAACATGTAATACTGCTGTGTACCTAATGGATAAATATTATTGGAGTTAAGGACTATTTCAACTACTAACTTTGCTTTGGCAAAACACATATAGGAACAAAATATATACTATATATATTTTATCAACATATTCCAGTAGGGGGAGGCTGCAACATTTAACAAACAGGATAAAAGTAAGTTTTAGATAGTAGAACTGCCAGTACACAGAATTTCCAGGTTCTGTCTTGAACACAGGAATGGGGTAATTAATTTTCAAGGAAAGCCACATAGTCAGTCAATCTGGCCAACTGTTGTTCATTAGGAATTGGTGGAACTGTAGCAGGTTCTATAAAGAACACAAAGACACACAGCATTAATAAAATTAAAGAGGCAAAACAGAGCCCAACGTCACCCATCCTAGCTCCCTTGACATTAAAGAAAAATGCGAACTAAATTTCTCAGACTGTTTCCTCATCAGCCCTAGAGTGACTGACACTCCTACTTGCAATCTCTTCATATATTCTTATGTTGCGTTGTGGAGGAGTTACTTATTTGGCCCATTACACACCACGACTGCAACAAAAGTTACAAATAGCTAGGCTACGTCTATCACTATTTCTAGACCTCTTCACTCTTCAAGAGTTATTTGCATATATTGAAGGACTGCCAAGTTTCCAGCATGTCATATCTGTTTGCTAACTCTGGAAAGGACTCCTGCAGCATCTTCAACGACAGTAAAGTTCCTATAGGTCTGCTTGCATTCTGCCTTCCTCTAGAACAGGGGTGGCCAAACTTACTGACCCTCTCAGACACATACAATAATCTTCAGAAGTTCGAAAGCCAAGCCAGGGCTTCAGCCCTCCGGGGTGCACCAGCTGGGGCTTCAGCTGAAGGCCTGAGACCCCTCCCCACAGGGCAGAAGCCCCTGGGCCCCACCACCCTGATGCAGGGCAGAAGCCCTGAGCAACCCCCAATCCCAGTCTGGTAGGTAGAGAATGCGGTAAGGGAGGCGGGTCTCCGTGAGCCGCACTTTAACTGTGAAGAGCTGCCTGCGGCTCGTGAGCTGCGGTTTGGCCACCCCTGCTCTAGAAGCAGCAATAATGAGCATGTCTGCTGAGTCATGTCTCTAAGGTAAAGTGAGACATACTTAATCAAGACATGGTGGAAAAAGCACTGGATGGCTGGCAAGAGAAGGCAGCCATAGTACATGTACAAACTCTACAAGAATGCAGAGTTATCCGGTGGTAAGGGTGAAGTGCAGGTTAAAGAGGAGGATAACTGAAAATGGAAGGGAAAATTAGAGAAATAGAGAATGAAATGTAGGGGTAAGAGAAAAGGAGAGTAGAGTGAGAAGAAAGGACCGTCAAGAATAGAGGCAAGAGATAATTAGGAGGAGAAATGAAAAACAGTGCAGGGAGAAGAAAGAAAAACAGAACACAAGGAGTCAAAACTGAGGAAAGGGAAGGAAGAGAAAATGTGTTATATAGAAGCGATTCCTCCTGTAAAGTCTTCTCTGATGTAAAAGTACACTGGGGAGATATTCACCTAGCCTACGTATAAAAAATGAATCCTCAACCCCAAGTATGTGAAGCACCCTACTTCCAGGTGGGGGAAAACAGAAGGCTAGCATTTAAAAAAGCTTGCTTTCAGAAAGCGAGAGACTTCACACTGGCTTGGAAAGACAAACCTCCAGCAAATTTAAGTTCACTTGGAATCTATAATGCATGTGTCAAACCATCAAATCAGATTTATTCTGAACATACTTGGTTGTACAATGTGGAGAACAGAGTTTTAGGTGACAGCATCACCAATGAAAATTGTACAGCTTAATCTATAACGAAGCCTTCAGTTACATTTAAAAAATAAAATGAGAGATGGAAGCAGAAAGATCTACTTCAAATTTTTCGTCTAAAGGAAAATTTAAGATAATACATTCTTTGTATCACACAGAGGCTATAAAGCCATTTAACCACTTGGGACTTGCCTACTTGAGAAGTAACTCTCCTTATGACAATCACAGTGAGATGCTTGAGCTGGATCCATCTCAGTTTAGGAGAGGGAACTGACAGTTCTCCAAGGGTGTTTCTATTCTGGAACCAGCTCTCTACTTGGTCTAAACTAGCCTGGGTTTTACTGGTTCCTGGGCATGCCACAATGCTCTCCCTCACTCAGATGTCTGTGGGAGGGAGGGGCTGAGGAGGTGGTTAATATTGTCTGGTCAATGAGTGAATTGCTGGAGGTTTTGTGTTTCATTTGGCATTGCTGGGAAGGTGGTGTTGAGTTAGCTATTTGTTTTGTTTACATATGTAAAGGGTACATAAGAGTTTCAGAAAGGCAAATTGTGTATTTATCTATATTACACCTTTTAAAATAAATCAAAATGAGCAAATACCTGGTAAAGGAATAAATCTGTTAAAGGAAGCTTCCAGTGCCCCTAAAGGAAAAATGCAATGGAAATGTTAATCAATAAAGGGACCCATTTTGCTAAAAATACAATTCTTATTTACCAAGCCAAAATTTTCTAAAACCCTATAAATTCATAGGGCTGGTCTTCACTACAGGGAGATTGATGCTGCTGCAATTGATGCAGTAGGAATCGGGACCCGCTAAATCGATGACAGAGCGCTCTTGGTACTCCAGCTCTCCGAGAAGAGTAAGGGAAGTTGACCGGAGAGCGTCTCCTATCGACACAGCACAGTGAAGACCCTGGGATAAATCAACCTAAGCTACGTCGACTCCAGCTAGGTTATTCACGTAGCTGGAACAGCGTAACTTAAGTCAACTTACCCCCGTAGTGAAGACAAACCCTTAGAAACAAACCTGTTACTATTTTCTTTCATGGAAATTTTTTATTGTATAGTATAATATCTGTACATTTAAACTCCTAGGCATAGTGAATGAGAGACTGAAAAGGACGACTGGCCTTCTGATGATTTCATTTGTCTCACAATGGTAGTTCAGCCCCACACAACATTTTGAGTTACATGCACTAGTAAGCACAGTGTGGGTTGCAAATAGTTTTGCTGTAAACATCACCACATCGCAGGGGGGGAAAAAATGGAGGATGTGTCTGTTCAGCTGAGTTCAAGCCTCAGGTCAGTCAATACACACAGGATTATAAGTGAATTTCATCACCTTGTCTAGAACACATTAAATCATCATTTTTTGTTTGGGTGAGCAGGGTTTTAGTTGTTCAGGAGCCCAAGACAGTAGGATTTTTTCCTAGCTTGTTAAATGCAACAGTACATTTTAGGAGCAAGATACATTCTGGCAGATCTAATCATCCCTCTTCCTTTTTTTTTTTTTTTTTTTTTTTTTTATAAATGGTGCTGTTTAAAACTATTATTTAAGAAGTTTAGAACAGCAGTCTCTGCCCTTCACAAAATTTTACTCAACTTTTTACATCAATAGAAATTAATTAGCATTACTTTTGTTAAAGACAAGCATTTCCCAGTGTGCTGTTTGCAAAAACTTGCTTTATCTTTTCAATACCATACCACAATTACAGTTAAAAAGCTATAGTGGAGCGTGTAATCTAGTCTGAAAACACAGACATGTAAATACGTGATCATGCTGAACTACACCGTACTACTGGCTGCCTCCTTACACATTTGAAGGATCTGCACAAAACGTTTGCTTTCTTTTTTACACCCAGCACTGGGCACACTGAACATACTTCATTTTACACACAGTAGATTCTGCTTAACAGCAACCCAGGTATTAACTTCTGGTTAACAGCAATGTTTTGCCAGGAACCAATCCCGTTCCATTGACTTTAATGTTAATGGGATTTGGACACTGGCAATGGCATGCCATTTATTCATAACATATTTTGGAAGACAGACCCCAATTGCAGGCAGGTTTGCTAGGCTGCAGCCAGGAAGGGAGATGCTGGGATGTGTCTTCGCCGGCTGCAGCCCTGCAAACTTTCTTGCAGCCTGTGCTCAGCACATCCCAGTGCTTCCTTCTGGGGCTGCAGCCCGGCAAACTTGCCTGTGCACCTGGATCGCACAGGAGGGGAGATGCTGCAGGCTGGGTGGGGAGGCTATGGGCAGAGCAGTAGCTAAAACTTGGATACTGGAGCTGCACAGTACCTCGCACTGTGCTATCAACACTGTCCTGCTGGAGGGTTGCACTCAAGGAAGGACTGGGACATGATGAGCCCTGATGCCCAGAGAGCACAGGAAGAAGTACTGTGCAGTTCCATGGGCTCCCAGCACCCGGGCTCCAGTGGCCCCCCCTGTTGCTGCCCTACCCGCAGGCAAGTTTGCAGACTAAGGCCAGGGAAGGCACGTCCCAGAGCTTCCTTCCCTAGCTGCAGCCTCACAAACCTGCCTTCTGCTTATTGGCAACTGCCGAATAATGGCAACTTTTAGGTGGCAACCGAGTAGTCGCCAATAAGTGGAAATCTACTTTAATTAAGCCTTGTTCATAGTGTCGGTTATCAGGGAATCCTCCTTGTGTTGGGAAATAGTAAACAGCAGGTTCAGACAATTCTTACATCAGCTGCTTGCACTAGATGTTTTCAGCAGGCTCGACTCCACGGGTTCCAGCAATTTAATCACAAGGCACAGGAAGACAGATCCTCTAAGTCCCACGAGTAAGGAACTTTAGTTTGAAACACCGCGTGTTGCAAAATAGTAAATTTTAACTAAGCTTTATTAGATTAAGAAATGTCAGTTGAGGTCATGTAACATGTTCCACTGAGTCATCGGAACCAATAGTAAGGAGAAGGGGAGTAGGAGAAATTAAAGCATATTCTGTTTCCTTTTGTTTACAAAGGTTTGGGTCCTTTTAGTTTAACTGATACTGCTTGTGCCAAAGTTAAAGCCACTGATTCATGTTTCTTACATTTTGAGCATCTCATGTTGTGCTCCTGCATTAGCTCTTGTTATACAATCTTCTCCACCATTGCCTTGTCAGTCGGGGTCAGCGGCTCTTGTTCTTCGTCTCCAAGGGTTCTTGTCAAGGGCATATTCCAAGCTGACATCAACTTTCACGTTGTCCTTCAGCATCTTGAGCCACCTTTTTCCAGGTCTTCCTCATCATCTTTGTCCCACGATTACTAGCTCTTGCACTCCCTGGCCAACGTAACCCACATTATCCCACAGGACCCAGCCATCTCAGTCAATACTCCCTCAGCTTTTCCATAATGGAGACTTTCTGCCTCGTGACTTGTACCATTTCATTACATAGCATACCAGCTCTCGTCTTACTCAAGTGCTCCCCTGAGCATTCTCATTTCAGCAGCGTGAAGCAGAAGTAGTTTTCTCGTCCTTATTGGCCAGCATTCTGACCCACATATTGTGGCTGACCTAATCATGATCTTACACATTTTGCTCTGTAGTTTACTTGGCATTGTCTTATCACAGAGAATTCCCACCAACTCCCTTCATTTACACCAAGCACTATTCAAGCCACATTCTCCGAAAGGCTCAACACTGAACCGAGGTACTTCAACTGTTGCACACAGTAATTTTACTGGCTTCTTGTTGTCCCTCTCAATGAAGCATTGCACATGTTCCATCTTTTGTCGGATGATTTGTATGCCATTTTCTTCTAATGCAGCCCTCCAAAGTTCTAGGTCTCTTTCCAGTTAGTATTTATCTTTACAGAACAGCATAAAGTCATTGGCAAAAAGTATACTCTATGGAGCCGCTCCCCTAATCTCCTGTGTCAAGATGTCCTTGTTATACAAAACAAACTCAAATTATATTAGGCATCATTTTAATGACACTAAAGGATACAAAACTAGAAATACCAAACCAGATCCAAAATGCATCATGGAATAACAGCTCCACCTACCTGGCTTTTTAGGCATTACCATACGAGTTGTTGAGTCTGCTTGCCAGCCTTGTTCTAACACCCCTGAAAATACATTTTAAAAATTCATAAGAACAAAACGATTACGATTATTACAATTTATTATATGTATTATCATAGCACCTATAAGCCTCAGCCATGGACCAGGACCCCATTTGCTATGCGCTGTATAAACACGACCAAGACATGGTCCCTCCCCTGAAGAGCTTACAATCTAAATAGACAATACAGACACAGTGTGAGGGAAAGGGTAGGAACACAGAAGCAAAGCGAACAATGTGATGACAGCAAGTGTTATGTTAGATCCACAATTGGGGGGGGGGGGGAACTAGGTTTATTTAGGAGGTGATCAGCTAAAGGGAAACAGGTTGGCACATTGAAGGGAAAGGGGTGAGGAAGAAATGATACCCCGTGTGTTTGACTCCAGTATCAAATAACCCAAAGTTCCCACTTGCTGGAAAAATGTCTCAATACACTTTAAAAGTTGGATTGCACAGTAAAAGTTATTTCTCAGACGAGCTCATGACAAGAGGCACTGCTGGAGACATTTAGTTGTACAAATGCATGACCTTTGTAGAAGTGATAGTATCCTGAGACTTATTCAGTCAGGCCCGATGCAAAGCTTTACTTTCATTTTTTGTCCTGGAGCGTGGGCTTCTCACATTCAAGAAAAATGGAATTCCTCTGCTATTTCAAAGGAGGAAGGCTTTTTGTGGCTCCTAATCTAGTAAGTGGTGGTAACTGGAGAACTCAAATACATTTCCCATCCTAAAAATTAAGCAATTTGCTTTTACTGTTTCCCTTTTCAGTCATCATCTCCTTTCACAATAATCTCAAGCTTATGTTTATTTTTGGATCCTCCTCCCCATTTCATTTTGCAGTACCCCTCTACACCCCATCCCTTTCCCGCAAAATGAGTTATGGGAGCAGCAGTGGAAGTGGGACCTCACTGGGCAGAGAACCGAGCAAGGTGAAACCTTCTCAGCAAGATCTACCTCACATGTTACAGATATCCCTAGATTATTAAAACTGAATTTTTTTTTTGAAATGTTATTTAATGTATACATTTATACTTTAATTTTACTTTATTTGAATCCAACAAGATGAGAGAAATATAAAAAAGGAAATGTCACTATGGTTTCTAACCAGTGTCACTTTCCGATTCTCAGGTACAAGCAATTGTTGGCAATATTCACATTGTAACACTGCTTTGAAATATTTAAATTCCAAGACAGATTTACATTAATGGAAACCCTATTAATTAGGTTTTGTAAAGATTTTCTTTTATGGACAAGACTTCAGACCCAAGCGGACAAACACTGTTCTATTAAAAATCAGGACCATACATAAATCCATTAGTAACATTTCATAAAGGTCAACTTTATCTCCAGTTTTCCTTCAATTTATTTGAAACATTTTCACCGAAATCTGTTAGGCCTACAATGAAGAATTTTCTAAATACAGAGGGCCCCCTGGCTTTTTTTTTGGACTTGGTGTAAGGAAGGAAAAGTGTTCTTAAACCACTTTTATTTTATAATGGGATTCTTGAGTTAGTCAATTTAATTTTGGTCTCAGCCTCAAAACAAAATTGTCCGTGAAAGACAATCCAAAAAGTAAAAGAATAAGCTACCTTTCACAGCTTCTTCTACAGGAAGTCCAACAAAGGCTGCAAAATCATCTGCAATTATTGAGGTATATGCCTGAGAAACCAGTCCAAAAGCTCGCCTCCTAGTTGCATCTATTAAGGGGAACACATTTTTAAATGATACAATTGTAACAGTCTTCAAAACACGCAGCAAGTCCGAAAATGCTTTGCGTGGCCTCACATAACAGTGGAGAGCCACATTTCTGAAAATCTGGTGCTTAATACTAATAGTTCATATTTACACAGTGTGTTCCATTGAGTGCAAGCCTAAAAGAGGCTTTGTAAATATTAACTGAGCTTCGACACCCCTATGAGGCAAGCAGTAAGTATCATGACTTACAGATAGAGAAACTGAGGCAAAGAGGTTAAAACAACTTGCCCAAGTCTGTGGTAGATCTAGGAACAGAACCTAGATCATCTATCTCCCAAACCTGTGCCTTAACAGTTAACATTTAAGTACAAAGGGTATGAGGTACAGTCTAGTCACTTTGCTCTTGAGCCCAGGACTAGGCTCATTCAGAATGATAGGATCTGGATAACATGTTCTGAAAATCCTAGAAAATTCATCTTAGTATTTTAAAACATTTCTGGTGTAAGCCCAGAAAGTGCTAAAATGCTTCCAATTTTATTGTAAGTAAAATTGAAATGTTCATAGCTAATTAGCTATACAATTTTATTTCTGCAAAGTTATAAAAATTCAATTACTAATTAAAGTTTAAATATAATTATTCAATAAGGGACTGTTTAAATAAATGACATTCATGTCTTAAATTTCTATAATGCTTGATGCTTTAATCCCAATATGGCTCCAAAGTAACACTACATCAAACTGTTTCCTTATTAGCACAAAGAATGAACTGGAATTCATGTTTTGGGATGGGAGAGTGAAATAGCCTGGAAAAAATTTTTTCCACAGACTCTAGTGCCCCCTTGCAGTGAAAAGCTATTAGCACATTAGTGTTAAGCAGAATGTTACTACTCAGAAACATCTGCACTAAGTGTCCAATTTAAAAAAAAAAAAAAGTAGAATTTGTGTCTAATGTAAGCAGTTATGGGCAAACTCCAAATAAGATTCCTTAGAATGCTGCTAGCTGCAGGACTAATTTTAAAGGGACATTGTTAAGCTTGTGGAATCCAATAAGAGGGACTTTTTTTGAAAGTTGAGTCATATCTGAAGCTTGATCATCCGTATTCCAGATATGCAATTAAAACTTGACTATAATGTGAGAGCAAAAGATGACCATCATTCTATTTACAGTACATCAAAGTTTGTAAGAAGAAATCATTTAAATCTAATTTTGAAACTGATGTGTTCCTGTAAGTTTCATATCTGAAATCCGTCAGGTAAGACCTCTGAAGGCTATGGGACAATCTTCAAGGTTGATTTTTATTCTTAACAAGTTGGAAATATCCCTTCAACACAATGTGGTGTTACTGGCGATACACTCTGTATAAATTTCTATTATTCAGTTAGAGGGATATTCAACAAGTTTTTTCTTACCTTGGATTAGCAGTATCTTAAAGTTTTAGATGTTTAGTAAATATTAGATGTTCAGTAAAATATTGCTCTAGCTCATTTGTTCCACATATTATTAAACACACACATTGTGGTAGCATCTAAGGGTCACAACCAACCAGGCTGGCCACCACTGTGGCAGGTGCTGAAATACTGTTATTCTAAACTGGACTGTATCTACTTAGTTTCTGAATGTGGAAAATACACTTACTCTCGCCAGCCCCAAATGGTTAATATACTTTTTCCCTTTAGATACTGTAATGTTAAACCAAGGTAATAGTATATTCCCAAAACAAGGAAGCCCACAGACTTATTGAATCTTGAAAAATCTGAATCTTGAACATTTTGAATACATTTCTTTACACATGTACGTTATTTATGAAACCAATAGCTTTTGTACACTCAAAATAGTCTATCAATCTGTTTACAGTACTAATTAATATTTCATTTGAAAAGCGAAAGTAGGCCTAGCCCTGCAATGAGTTCTACATGAGCAGAGGTTTTACTTGCACAGCGCACATTGCAGGATCAGGGTCTAATTTTGTTTTCAAATGAAATATTAATCAGTAGTATAAACAGATTTGTACACTCAAAATATTCTATCAAAGCTACTGGTTTCATAAATAACTTATATGGGTAAAGAAATTTATTCAAAATGTTCAAGATTCAGATTTTTCAAGATTCACTGCTCTACTTAAAACACCAAAAAAACAAAACACCTGGGTATTTGCTCAGTTACTGCAGAAAGCCCAAGTCAGTTACCAAAACCTATTTCTATTTATCAAGAACTGTCAAAGTGCCTGGCTGAATGTCCTTGCCCCAAGGAATTCACAATCTAAACTGTTCTGACAACAAATTAGCATACACTAAAAATCCAAGCCAAAATACAACCTCCTAGAACTCAGAGGGAGTCTTGAGCAAGGGTTAATGGTAGCATGTAGTCCTATATGGCCAACAAAACAAATTCAAATTAAACTTCTCCGCCCCTAGTCTGTGTTAAGTTTTCAAACGAATATTTTTTGTACCTCTAAGTGCTTCCATGATTGGTTGAATAGTCTCAGACCACTGATGTGCACTGATTGTTGTGTAGATTCCTGGAAAGTCTCGCTGCCAAATTCTTTGTCCTACTGACCAAATTCCACCAAGTTCAGAATTTGCCTACAGTGACAAAGCAAGCAATCAAAACAGAACATATGTATTATTCCCTGCCATGACCACTCCACTACTAATTGCATTTTGCTGAAAGTATATTTTTCCCTCTCGGAACAAGTAGGAATCAGAACAATTAGAATGAAATACTACAGTAATCTTGATATTAAGATTCAGACAGTACAGTACCACGTCACTGATACTGGTATAAGAGTGATGATCCAGTTCAAACAATTCTAATTTTTTTTTACACAGACAAAGCAGCAAAGCAACACAGAGTAAAACATGTTATTTGCCTATTCCATCTTTCTACACCCGCTTCACCACCCAAAAAATGTAGTGCAGAAGGAAGCAAGAAACATGCATATACAATTATACCACAAACTTTTTTTTTTTTTTTTTATTAAAGTGGACTAATCTTGGATGATTAATTTTACAAACTAACAAATATAAACAGAAAGCAATCAGGTGGAAAAGTTAGAAACCAGTTGTATAAATATAGGAAGAAATTAATAGAGATTCTTCTATGTAGCCAACAAAGTGGATTTTGCTAACTAGTCTCCAGAGCAACGTGCCACTAATAATTACATATTAGAATAGAAATGGGCAGCAGTCTGGGTGAGAAGAAGAGGAAAGACCTCCAGCATGAAAGGAGACTGATTCTCAGTCCTGTTTGACATGTCAATTCTGTTTCGATCCACAAAATGGCATGAGGATCATGGAAATTACCTCCCATGAGTTTTGTCAGAGGAAGATGCAAAGGCTGCTGTGACAATTACTAGTAATTCCTCGTTAACAAGTGTGGCAAGATGTGTTGCAAGTGTGATACAAAAAATGTTTGACCCAGCAATATTACTGAGACCACTAGTTGACTTTTATCATCAAATGGCTGAGCCTGATTGACCTTTCCGTCACTGCTAGGAAAGTGGTATTCAGAAGTATCTCAGGAGATATTACCCAGTCTCAGACCTGGCAGAGGGCTGCAGAGCCACTTCCTCCCTATTTCTTTATGTAAAAGCTTTCTGACCCCAATTGTATCTTTAGACACCCAAATTCTAAAGAAAAATCCTACAAACAGGCAAGCACTTTTGGTATTAGAGACCTGACATCTCAAAAGGTGGTTCTAATTCAAGCAGGGCATTACAGTAAACCTACACTATTGATTCAGTAGTTCAATACAGCGCTTTCAGTATTCACTTGTAATTTGGAAACCCAGACACTGGAATTCACTAAATCATACTTTGGAATGATGTATCAGTCTGGCTTGTGGCCACATATCTCAGATATCTTGGAGTGTGCCTCATATGGAAGTGCTCTATCGTTTCTGGTACTTACACATCACTGTAGCCATGAGACGCAAAACGTGCAGTTAGGTTCCTGCTATACCTGTTGGCTGTTTTATTTTCAGTCCTCTATCCATTATACCAAGAGGTGCAAGGAGGAAGGAAAAAAAAAAAAAAACTTTTTTCTGAGATTTGTCTTTTAGGATTCTACTGCACTCCAGTGTATCATAGGGAGAATAGTAATTTACACTGAACGCTGTAATGTCTCCTAAATCCCGGGTGGTAAGTCGGACAGAACCTTCTGAAATGTATGCCAATAAGAGGAAACATTCACATGAAAATATAATTATAAATTAGATCCAGTGATGTTATCAGCCTCTTCTTTCCAACAGTGACAGAAGTGTTCCCAGACACCATTTTGACCTTTTGAAAAGTTGGCTGAGGTTGTGAATCAACTACAGGATGTATCTGCCTGACAATACTCAGAATAGTATTTGCCTTCTTTCTGCTGGTGGCCATTTTTGTCGTAAGGAACTAGGTTTCCAACAACAACTGTTGCTGATTTGCTGAACGCCAATATATTTTGAGGAGGTGGCCTGAAAGGCTAGTTATTTTGAGTAGCAAAAGAGATAGAATAAGAGAGCACTTTGCAGGAGCAGACAGATGCAGATGATCCCTGTCAGTAGAGGGAACAGGTTGACATGCCTTGGCAGTGCCATCTGCTGGCAAAGAGGTTGAAGAGCTCAAGCCTTTGAACCTGGCCATTCATCAACCATATAGCTCAGACCAAAAGTGAAGATTTATTTTAAATGCCACAGTTTGGAAAAACCTTTTTCTTCAAACATGTAAAATGGAGCACAGTACCATCTCCAGTCTTAAACTGCACTGAAGGGAGTACTTACAGATTTAATAGCAGGAGGAATTCTTTTCCAAAGATATCGTGCATTATTCCTAGTAAACAAAATAGAGCCCAGTTAGACTATGTTTAACAATTATATTCATCAGATGTTTACTGCTAGAACCCTATGAAAAGACAGTGATATTAAAGATGTCTTCAGATGTAAGTGCTACAATTAATGGGGTGAACAAATCAAGCATTTAGTAGCATAACACAGACTTATGCCATATACAATGTCATCTTAATGCTTAAAAATCTGCAGTATAATGGCTTTATATCAAGCGAGATATAAAAATTCAACTATGAAAGTAATTTTGAAATAGATGCAGTAAGAGGACATATTGCAAGCCAGTGTTCAGAATGTCATGACACTGAAGTTTAATGAAAACATTCCCCTGCAACATTATGAACACAAACAGCAGCACCTGATAACACCAAAGAGAAACTGAAGTCTATGTTCATTATCCAGCCTAGTGAAATGCAAGAAGCAAGTAGTAAATAAGAGGTAAAATGCTCAGTCTAGATGATCTAAGATGCTATTTAGTAATACAGGTAAAGATTTTTCCTTATCTTCAGAGTGCCCACTAAAACTGACAAGCCTGTTAACTGGAAAGTTTGTGCCAATCCCTCCTCTCCTATGAGCAGCCAGAATACTGATATCACCATTTATCCACACAGTAAACACAACGGTTGGATATTTCTGACCTTCCATTGTAAGTAAAAGGAAATATTGCGATTTCTGATATCACTCGGTGGTATCCATGGGTAGATGCTGACTTCTCAAAATGCTAAAAACTGCATATGTGACCCATGCTTTCAGAAGCCTGAAAGCAGAATTATTCCCGATTGTTCTTATACACCCTCAAGAACAATGCATATCAATGTAGTGACACAGCATATGCACATACTGTAAGGCTGAGCAGCAAAGATTTCTCGATTTTATCTATATTGTTGCTCATCTGAAAAAGCTTACAGGATTTTCCAGCACCAGTAAGAAAGTGTTAAATATCATTGAAATGTAACCTATAAATCCAATCTCAATACTGTCTTAAATTTCAGACTATGATTAAGCAATTTATCCTGTGTTTACCAGATTGAGACTTGAATTAGGGTTTGCTGGTTGGCATTACAGACAAGATTAAAAGTAACTGTTTAATGATTGTTTTGATGCCCAATCAGAAGAACTAGTTGGCGGTTTTTAGTTTCTATGATTGCCTACAAGTTGCAATACAGCTTTGCAGTCTATTGGGGAATCTCATTTGCTTCAATTGCCTCTAATATTTAGGTAGCCAATAGTGACCAAAAATGCTTTTTCATCTATGGTTGTCTAGAAGGTTGAGACCTTTTCTTCATTACGTGGACCTTGCCAGTTTTCCACTGTCATCTCCAGAATAGATCACAGTATTCACACTACACTGGGCTATGCTGGAAGACTATTTGGAAGCTTCAGCTAGTGCCGAATACACTCTCTCCCAGGTGGTGGTAAATTACAAGCTGTGCTTCCTGATCTCCACCAGCTGCCAAAGTAACTGGATTGGGTAATGTCTGCTTGAGAAACTGACACTTTTCTTGCATGAAACCATGCCTATGGTGCTTGAGAAGATAAGCCCCCTGGTTTAATTGCAAAGAATATGAAGACAGGACATTTCATCAGAGACGTGGCCATTGACTCTGGAAAGCTACCAGCCATGAGCCACCAGAGCTGAGTAAGCTGAACATTGTAAGACCCAGCTGTTTTCCTAGGCTTTCAAGAAGGGGTAGGTGAGAGAACAAAAAAGAATTTACAGGGAAAATAGCATTTATTATTCTTGACAAGTTGAAAAGGAAGAAGAGAATCATGAGATCTAACACATGTCATTAGTTTGTCTGTAAATTTGCTGTTGTTTTCACATACTTGTGCCCAGTGCACTGGATAAATCCATTTTTATAAACCAAATTATTAACACAACAGCTTTTAAACAGTTCTGACAAGTATAGATCAAGTTCTAATGATGATACTGAATTGCTGTACATATTTTTAAATTTTTAGGGTAACAGTAACAGCTACTTACATGTCATTGTGCAGCAGGTATAGTGCTAGAAGCTGACCATAAACTGGGGGTGTTGCAATTCCTCCAGGGGCCTTAAAAAACAAATCCAACTCACTTAATTGGATTATACATCTTAAAAAGTTAAGGGAAACTGAAGTATTTTTTTTAAATTAAATACCTCTGATTCCAATTGGAGAGAACCCATAATTCTAACATTACACATAAAATTAGCTGTTTTCCACATCAGAGAATGGCTGTGAACAGATGCTCTGTTTGGCTTTGTGATAATTATATAAAAGACTACATCAATATTAAGGTCAAGATTTTAATTCCAACAAGTCAGGAAATTACTAACTAAGGTTTCTGCGGAAACCTTAATTCTGCTCCCCAGCATGGGTAGATTACAATAAGGTCTTTCGTTACATGAGCAACAATTAGAACATTGACCGTAGCAGCAGCCACTGTACTTCAGGATCCAGACAGTTCCCACCCAAGCCCCATTTCTAGGCAGAACTTTACTATACTTGGTCTCTGCATGAAAGTGTTGTTTGTTTTTGAAACAAAGGCTAAGCAAAATTCCTTTGGCCATTTTGGAGATGAATGTAAATTCCCCCCCCTTGATTACCAACTGAGAACAAGAACATAAGAATGGCCATACTGGGTCAGACCAAAGGTCCATCTAGCCCAGTATCCTGTCTTCCAACAATGGCAATGCCAGGTGCCCCAGAGGGAATGAACAGAACAGGTAATCATCAAGTGATCCATCGCCTGTCGCTCATTCCAAGCTTCTGGCAAACAGAGGCTAGGGACACCATGCCTGACCATCCTGGCTAATAGCCATTGATGGACCCATCCTCCATGAACTTATCTAGTTCTTTTTTGAACCCTGTTATAGTCTCGGCCTTCACAACATCCTTTGGCAAGGAGTTCCACAGGTTGACTGTGCGTTGTGTGAAAAATACTTCCTTTTGTTTGTTTTAAACCTGCTGCCTATTAATTTCGTTTGGTGACCCCACTTCTTGTGTTATGAGGAGAAAATAACACTTCCTTATTTACTTTCTCCACACCCGTCAAGCTTCGCAACTTCAAACTTGACATGTACAATATAAGCAGCACACGCTCTGCTGAGTTTGAAAACAAAAAATGGTTTTAAAACAAAGTTACAAATTTGAAAACACAGTACTCATTACACATGAAAATTCTGTTAGACTTTCAGTTGTGTTGCACATATAAGGACAATGCAGCAAACATATGTACGCAGACAGTTGCACAGCTACTTGATTTGGTTAAAGGGCTTTAACAAGCTCATCTAGTGAAACACACAGACTGAGAACTAGTTGCAGTGTTCTGCTCAATGTGCAGGAGGAAAGCGCAGTATGTTCCTAGACCTGATGCTAGGATAACTTACAGCTGCCTTGAGGTTCCTCTAAAATTTATGCTGGCTTGTAATAGCTCCCAAGAGCCCACTGAACTCCAGCAACTCCATGCTCCCAACATCAGGGAGCTAGGAGGAGATGGCACAGAGCTTTCTCAAGCGGCAGTAGAACAAAGTTGGCCAGCCTTCTCCAGCTTCCACTGCTGCTTTTCAGAACATTACTGTGCAGAAGTGAAATTGACAAGACACTCACATGGTTGCAGACAGGCACAAAACACATACTGAGTAGGACTCAAAAAACAAGCAGAGAGGGGTATATTAGTGCAGACCACTTTGCTGTAGCCAGTGGGCTCTGGGATGTGAGGAAAAAGAAAAGAGAATATTCCTTCTTCTAAGCAGCCAGCTTATGTGAGAACTTCAAGTTTATTAGACACTTTCTACAGAAAGCTACAGAAGATTTCTCCAAAAAGGGTCCAGGAATTAAACCCTGGGAGGAACTATTATTAATTATCATCATCATCATCGGCAGTATTATGGTAATGGAGAGAAGGCCCAACTGAGATTGGTGCCCAATCACTAGGCACTATATATATATAGTGCCTAGTATGATTGGTGCCCAATCTCTCATATATATGAGATATATATATATACACACACACACACACGGAGAGTAAGGGATAGTCTGTGCTCTGAGGAATTGCACACTAAAGAGACCAGACCGAGGGCACGAGGAAACACACACACACACACACACACACTGTACAGAGGCGGCGAGCCGTACAAGGTCGCACATCAGGCCGGCGGCAGACCCAGGTCTCCCGAGTCCCAGCCCAGTGTCCGACCCGCCCGGCCACGCGGCCTCAGTCCCAGAGCTCCCCTTTCCCCGGCGGGCAGAAGCGGCTGCGCGGCTCCCCGGGAGGCGGTGGCCCCAGGCTTAGCCCGCACCTTAGGGAGAGCAGCGGCCACCTAGCGCCCTCCGCGGGGGGGCTCAGCAGCCGCCCGCCAAGCGCGTCAGGCGGCCACTGATCACCAGCGCCCGGCCGCGCCGGTTCCCGCCCCTGAGCCCACCGGGGTCTAACGGCTCCTGCCGCCGAGCCCAGGTCCCGGCGAGCCCCGGCCCCCGCCCCGCTACCTCCAGCTCCTGGGTCTCGCACTGCTCCAGGAGCTTCTTGAAGCTGAAGGAGGTTTCCGCCATCACCGCCACTGGCATCTTCCTGCCCGGCCCCGGCCTCAGAGCCGCCCCGCTCGGTGCCCGCAGCGGCCCCTCACAGGCGACTCCGCACGCGCCACCCACCACTTCCGGGCCCGGCTCAGCGGGCTACGCACTTCCGCCCGCAGCCTAGGGACGGAGCTGTAGCCGCTCTGTCCCGCCCCTCTCGTATGCACTGGAGGACTCCGGGGACTGCTGGGCGGGGCTCGGTGGGAGGTGTTTGGGGCGTTGCTGTGTGGGGAGAGGATATTATTGGGGGTTGCTGGGCAGGGGGAAGGGATGCTGCTGTGGGGAGGGGGATATTGGGGGTTGCTCTGGGGGAGGGGGATATTGGGGGTTGCTGTTGGGGTAGGAGGATATTGCAGGGGGGATTTTGGGAGTTGCTGTGGGGGAGGGGGATGTTGAGAGGAGGGGGATATTGGGGGTTGTTGTGGGATATGGGGGTTGCTGTGGGGGGAGGGGGATGTTGAGGGGATTGGGGGAGGCAGGATGGGGGGTGCTGTGGGGGAGGGGCAGGAGGGATGTTTTGGTGGAAGGATACAAAGCTATACTTAGACAATCCCAGCATTTCACAAACATATGTAGCACTAAAGTGTCTAGCACACAGATCTCCATTTTTCTATACTGAAAAACTCAATATGCAAAGTTGAGATCCTCTCACTAACTGCCTCCCACTCCACCTGAGAGTCCCTATCACCCCATAGCTCTATAGGCTAATTCCACCACAGCATGTATATTTTTATTCTGGTTCCTTCTTTTATGATTTATAAAGAAGGCCTGCATTTTGTTAAGGGTTCCTCCCACTCTCCGTCTTATTTCTAATCACATTGGTAATTCATGTCTTGTCTACCCAGGGACTCTTTCAACAACAAGAATAAGTGACATTACGACATCTCAAGAGACTGAATGCCTTTTCTTTATGCTCCCTTGTATCAAGGGTTTGCGCTAACTCTACAGTTTGCCCCACACAGATAGACCTTACACCGTACAGAGTCCCAATGAAGTCACTGGGGCTCCATCCAGCACACGTACCTGCCTGCCTGGATCAGATTTCTGGATAGGAGAAGATGGATCATAAGATGCTAGGAGCCATATTCCACTGTGTTTCATACTGCCACCCTCTGCTGGGAGTATATTCACAGCTCCATTGTGCCAGGCTTTCTTGCTCACCTCCTTCATGTCGTTCCTAATGTCTTGCTTCTTTCAACTACTGTTCACTTCTCTCCTGCTCCATTGCCAAGGAAACAAATATAAAATACAATGCACCCAAGTTACTAACTTTGGGCCTGATACTGAGAGTCCTGAATTCTCATCAGTTTCCACATGGCATAGCTCTGGGTCCTTAGATCCTGATCCTACCAAAATTTAAGCATGTTTGCAACTATTTGCAAGATTGGAGCCTATGACTGTAACTTTTGCAGGGGCTACACCTGTGTCAAAGCACCATGCAGCACTGTAGTGCTGTATAAAGAACGGTAATAGAATATAAAACACTGGAGAGAGGTGAATTCTGGCTGCTGCTTTGTCCATGTCTTTAATATATTATGCATGATACTTTTACATCAGTAGTCTCTATGCAATATGCAATATTAGGAATGAAGAACAGTTAAGGGGCAATTTTCTTTCGGAGAGTTGTCTGCATTGGAGGGATATTTGAATTTCTACCCATCAGTTGCTGCATTTGCTTAGTGAGAAAATTAGAACCCACACTGGGATTTCTGCTTAGAATTTTAATTGGCTGGCTTCTCCTTCTCATCTTTCCCTCAGGTGATGGCGCTGCTGCACTGTCTATTACCATCTGTCCTGGCTTGTGTACCACTCCACAGTATTCCTAAATAAATGCTAATCTTGCCTTCATGCTCTGCATCCCCAGCATCTGTATTGATCTGGCTTTCTCTTTGTTTTCTTCAGCTCAGTGCACTTGGTGCCACCCCTACAGAAGCTGCTTGGAAATTCAAATGTATGGACACAAGTTCTTCTAGTATCTCTTGTTAGAATTTCCAGTAATGCACCAGTTTGTCAGGTCAGCTCATTCAGAGCCCGATCCCATTTCCGTTTAAGTCAGTGGGAATCTTTCCGGTAAAGTCAGTGCAATGTGGATCAGAGGCTCACTTTCTGCCTCAGGACTCCTAAACTCTTCCTTCTTGCCCTGATTCTGGAAAGCATATAAGCATGTGCTTGGATCCCATTGATTTCATATGCTTAAATGCTTTCCTGAATTTACTGAATCAGGGCCTCTGACAATATGCTATTACTTCACCAGGATAGATATGAATTCTCTGTTGGCGTAAATCAACGCAGCGCCTATGATTTCAGTGCAGCTTAGATGAGATCTTTGTGTCTGGAAGAGATAGGCAGGGGGTGGTCCAACAGAGGAATAAATTGGCCAGATGCAGCTATAGACTGTATTACATCTCTGTAGCTGCCCTCCTCATGGGGATTCTGTCTTAAGGTGGTCCCCAGGGTATCCGCTGGCTGCAGGAGCCCTACCACCATGGCTTTGTTGGAGTCTCATCACCAGTGTGGTGCTTGGAGTCTTAGAACCAGCATAGATGCCTGATGTCCTCACACGGAAAAGCTTGGCCTAACTGATGTCCAGCTGGCCAAACCCCTGCCATCCCTCCAGCAGAATGATCAGGGCTAAATCTCAGCAATGAACACCTCATGGCAACTTCTTCCTCTTTACCCCCTGCCCTCCCCAAGTGGGAAGGTGTGGTCTGACCAAGTAGTATTAAAGAGCAGCAAGTGTGGCCATATGAGGCAGTTTGTCAGTAACTGTGTTAGAATAGACTGACTCTCCACAATGCACTAGGGGTAGCGTTTTTGAATGTCAGGGTGGTTGATACACTAGTCAATATGAGACAGTTGACCCATAACGCTATATGACCAGGCCCCTTGATTGCTGTCATATGGTTTGAATGGACCAAATTGCTGGGGGAAGGCCACAGACTATGGTGGAATTATGCACAGTATTATTGGGTGATAATATTTTTGCTCATCTGTGAAATCCTCTTTCTGGATACAGAATTGAAATATATGAGTCTATTGCATACAAGAGTTTCTCATTTACCCAAGTGCATGTCACTGTATGAGGACATCTACTGTACAACAGCTATTTCTGCTTATTTAAACTCACCACTTGTCAGACACATCTCTAAACCCACTGTAATTGTGGCAGTCAGAGAAATGCAGAACATGAACACTCTTCACCATAAATGTTGCTTCATGTATTATATTATGGAGCAATAATGTTTGCTAGAGAGTTTGCTGTGTCGAGTGATGGAGAGACTTTGGGGAATTATGAGCAGCACACTTTGGGGAGTCGTCATGTTGCCAGTCTTTAAAATTCTCATGGCATAAAATGAGTGGAGGTAATGAGACCCACATTTTCAAACTGTCCACTGATTTTGTGTGCCCAGTTTCAGATACCTTAGAGCTTGGTTTTCAAAGGTACTGCAGCACCCCCCCACTCCAGTTGCAGTCAATAGGAGCAGCAGGTGCTCAGCTCTTGGGCTGAGGATGTCTGATGGAGGACACCCAAAATGGATGGGCACTTTTATAAATTTTGGCACAAAGCATTTGCCTTGGGCTCTGCATGATTCATTTGTCCATGGGCTGATCTTTCCCAGATTGGGAAGGATTCACTCAGCACACTGGTTGCTCAAGTGGTCTTCCATTACGGCCCTGAGTTTTGGAGGGGCTGAGCTTGAGCACCCATACTGCTCACTGACTTCAAGTGGACTTTGGTGTTAGTTGACTATTTGCCAAATCCGGACAGTGTGCTCTGCTCTACACAATGTTACTATAGGCAGGGTGGCTTACCAGGTGCTACTGTCGAATCTCCAAAATCCGTCAGCAGAGATGTCCACAAGATTTCTCATAGCACGCTTTGCACATGTAGCTAACAGTCTTCCAGTGAATTCACATCCACTTGGTTTCCTTACAGGACCGTATTAACTCTGCTGACTAGTGTGTTTCCCCAGAGCTAGTTCTTTGGGGAGACATATCAAACCACCATGCCTTATGAGCCTGACCCAAAGCCCACTGAAGTCAAAGGGAGTCTTTTCATTGACTTCTGTGGGGGGGTTTTCAGGCCCTGGGTTCTGAACAATACGTATCATGGGCCAAACTCACCAAATGGGGTAAGAATTGTGCCTTCTTATGCCAGCTGTGAATTAGGTCATTGAGGTTAGGGAGAATACCTTCTCATACTGGGCACCTGTTCATACAAAGAGAAAGGGACCATATATTCTTTTAAAAAATAAATAATTCTTTTCTGAATTGAAACAATAAAGGTCAGAACAAGTTCCTGAGTGTCTGTACCATGCATTTATGCTATATTTATCTCTGTTATTCAGTTTAAAATAAGAAAATGAAAAAAATTAACTTGGAACAGTGATGAAAACTCACCACAAGAGGGTAGTGGTTGCAAGAGAATTTTACAAAGATAAAAAAAAAATAAGGGGTTTGATTCTCCTCCAATGTATACCAGTTTTACACTAGCATAACTCGCTTGAGTTGGTCCTCCTCTACACTATTGTGAAAGGAGAATCAAGCCCAAAGACTACTTTGTGTTCTTATTGGAGCCTAATCTTAAATTTATATTGCCCCTTCAATGCTTGAAGAAAGAGATTCTCTCTCTCTCTCTTTCTCTCTCTTGTGCACTGTCCTTTTTTCAGAGTAACCTGGGAAGTAGGGATCTGACTTTGGATGGGCTCATATCCAAGGCATTGGCTGAACACTGGCTCTGGTCATTCAAAATATTGAAAATAAGGCCCTAACTATCTAACTCAGGGGAAAGCTACCCATCCTCTCTGTTAAAAATGATCCTGAGCTGCCTAGTTTGGGTCTAGATCTGAACCTCCCCAGAGTTCATGGGTGTTTGGTTCTAGGAATTTGGTTCTGCTTCTTTTACAGATAGAAGAGGCCAACTGGTAACTCTGGATCTAAACTTCAAAGATTAGGAGTCTTTGGGCCTGGGGTTTTGGTCTGGGCCCATCTCCAACCTATATGGAATTAGATGATATTGATCATATTGGTAATTAAATGTCCACCTCATCATGTCAGTCGTGGAGTCCAGCTTTAA